ACAGAACTATATTATTTAACAAATTGATAATATATCTAGCTTTTGGATCCTTCGAACGTTCAAATTTTCTCATTACTATAGAACGTACTTGAGACTAGCCTTGAGACGCTATTTCTAAAATTAAATTAATTTTATAAGGTTTTAGCTTTTTTGCCAAAACCTTCTTAGAACCAAAAACCTATGAAACAGCAAGTCAAAAAATTGATAATTTAAAAGAAATACAGTCTTACGACTGTTTAAGAATACATGTAAAGATCCAATCATTAGAACAATATGAAGAATTTGATATAGTATTCCAGAAGAATCACCTAATTTGATACGATGAGTAATTGTGCGCCGTACATAAAGTTGCTCAGAATAACCTATAGGTGCCACAAACACTTGCGCCTCCATGTAAGCTTTTGCTTCAGGAATATTTATCAAATACTTAAGAGTGTTTACATAATTGTCAGTTGAATGGAGGACACTTTCCTTTAAACAAACAAGTTTCATGTTTGCTATGCTTCTATCTTCCTGATGTTGCTCAATTCTATCATCATAGCTGTGAATAAGGAGATATTCAACCTGTTCTTCATAAGTTTCCTGTACAGACACAAAATCAGAAAATGCATTCTTTCACCCTATATAGCTGAGCCATAAACAAGAAAAAAAGTATGAGTATGCATTCTCTAAAATAATACCAGAATCGATACTCCTTTCGTTGTATATAGTCTTCTCTTGATTAGGGTTCCTAAATAGAATTGACGCTTTAGGTACAGATTTCAGAAGTATTGTAGCAAAATGTGCGATGTTATGTGTAATTGTTGTATCACTATAATGATATTCATGAAGATTGTGAAAATTATCCACATTAAGAACAACTAAGCTTTCAATCTGTCAAAGATTATGTATAATTAATTAACTACAAATTATAATAATAATATAAAAATAAAATTATATATTTATATTCTCTGACAAAAAATTTTCTACCATTATTGTATGCGTTTCTACATGCTGGGCCTTCTGTTTTGCAATAGTTTCACGCCTAATCGTTAGACCTGCACCAGCTAAGGTCTCTATTGCTGATGATGATGCTCCAGATGTATCTAACAAGAGCTCAACTTCTGCCTTAACTCCATTAATAAATTTATTATTAAGCCCAGCTAGAAAATAACAAAATGCAACTAATCTTTTCTTATTTTTTCATTAGTCATGTGGCTTTTAGCTTGGGGGTTAGTTCCGGCTACTAATTGATTAAAGAAACTTTTTAATACGGTTCAGTTTCTTCAAGCATTTTCTTGAATTCAGTATAGAACTTTCATTGTATACACATTGCCTTGTATACAACACCCCAGTCATTAATTTTATCTTTTTGTTTAAAGAAACCAATTCTAAAAATAAAACAATGTAAAAAATTAAAAAAAATAAATAAAGAGAAAATAAAAAAATAATGACAATTAAAAATAACATAATTACCTAGTTTCGTTTCATTCAACTTTGCATATACTTCATGATAAACAGATTTCAGTTCCTGAAATTCAGATTCAGAGTAGATAATATCGCTACATAAAATATATAACCTACCTTGGAATTGTTTTATATTCTCTTTCAGAATTCTTTCGACCGCCAGTGAATAATTGGACAAACTGGTATATTCTGGATCACTATCTGTTTTATACAAACAATGATGACACATTATCGCCCCTTTTGGTAATGTAAAAAATCTAATTAGTCGTTCTGAAGCTTTTTTGAGTTTTTTACCTTTTGTACCATTTTAAGCTGTAGATAAATAGATTTCATGTTTAGGATGAATACAAAGTTTAGTTAGTTTGGATTTTTTTCTTGCATTTACAATATATTTATTGTAATGCTTTCGGTATAAAGCTTTGTCAACTAAATCCAAATGTTGACTTGAGTCTGGTATAATTATTTGATCAGTTACGGTTGAAGCACCATGCTGTTCATAATCGCAAATGACATTATCATAGTTTTCCAAATCGCAATATTGAGACTTTCTTTTTCCTTTTTTTTCAGTAGAATAAGCTTTGTTGTAAGTTTCTGGTGTTGACATTTTGCAATTAACTTTTCTCTTTAATTTAACAGTACTTATAAGACTTAAACTAAGACTTAAACATATAGTATCGATATTCTTTTTAATAGTAGATAATAGATAATCATATAACATTACACAAAACCTTATTTTATCCAATAAAATTTAATGAAAATTATAAAATAATTTTCAAACAATCAGCCAATTACAGCGAAAGCCCGCTATGCTTACGTACATAAAATCCTACTAAGGCAATACGTGAAATGCTAATTAAGAAGATTACTCTATCAACAAATTCAGTCTCTAAAGAATTTAAGACATTATACAAAAAGACATGTGAATATTTTGACAATTTTCGGCATATATTTAATAAAAACATAGCAGCCTTTGCTAAGGATTTCTTAGTTAAAAATCGGTAATATATAGCATTAATGTTATAATAATAATTATTAAATATAATTTTTAAAATATTTTTTCTTCAGTGATCCAACAGATGAAAATCTTGAGCACTTCGTTGCTGAAAAAGTCTGCCATCAAAAGCTTAGTAAATACCTTGATGCTAGTGACTTTTCTGAGTTCAAAAAATCATCTTCAATCAAATCTCTCGAAAGCTTCGTTGCTGAAAGTTTAAAAATTCATGTTGAATATCAAATTGCAGTTCATAATAAAGAAAAACCTTCTTATAGTGAAGATGTCTTAGCAAAAATTAAGAAACTTGATCAACTCACCATTCATATTACTATTCCATCAGCAAGTCGATGCAATTATATAAATGAATTGGATCTTAATCAAATTAGTGGAGAGTTATCCTCAGATAATAAATAACTTTTTATTACTTTTATAAATTATTTGAGCAAATGCTTTAAATAATTATAATAATTATAAAATTTCAAAACATTAAGTTACAAGCATTTTTTACAATAAAGATGCGAACTCTTACAGGATTTACAGCTTATATCTATAAGAAGTAAATTTATAAGTGCACGAAAATCTTATGTACGAGACAGTGCTAATGTGTATATCGACAATGCGTATTGATATGTACAATTTAAATTTTTTATATAATTTGCTTTCCTCATAGTTCTATGTAAATTTTTATATATAGATTGCATTACTGTAAGCTGATAACTGTTATATCCGAGTATTTGCAAAGGTTAGAGATCTATTTTACCAGTCTTCCAACCGGTATTCTCCAAAGCATGAGGATACTATTCTTCGCGATATAATTGTTAATCCCCTAGTACAGCGATCTACAAGTCAGCACTTTATATGGTACACTAGTACTTTAAATTCTGTATTCGAATCTACTTTCTTTGTATGATTATTTAGTAAACATCATTATCTTTCAATTTATAATTTAATGAATGTAAAAATCATTATTCTATGAATTTAAATAATAAATATGTACAATTTATAAACACATGAAATTTCCTGTATAGTTTCGTATGTACGTTTATATTTAAATTTTTTTTTAATTGGCTAATCGGTTTGTCACGTTCAAAATCGGTTACATGACGAAAGTTGAAGCTCTAAATATGTTGTACGCGGCGTATCAATCGAAGAGAATCTGAAATGAAAGAGAAAATTAATATATAAATGAAAAAAAATTGAGTTGAAATGTAATAATACTTATCTCTTGGTTTCGCGTAAAGTTCGAATGGTGTCGTATCAAAATGAATAGGTAACGGTAACAATGATGTAATTGGTGTAATTAGTTTAGAGTCAAATGTTATTATATAAAAGAGCATGAAAAAATAAGAAAAAAATTACCTTTCGCTTTCGTTCTAACTAAAGATAGTAAAATCGATAAACGCGTCCCATGCCTTCGTAGTAGTCTGAGGGCCATGACTATACTTGCTTATTGATATTGTTTACAAAAACTCTTAGCGTTAGGAAAATGTTGAGTATTTATAACCATTAAGTTCTTACAAGTAATTAAGTTTTTTTAAAAAAAAACTTGATTGTAATGGTGGTTTATTCATGCAGTTAATGTATTTTATTTTATTCGAATAGCATCAATTTTTTATAAAGTAATTGTAATCATTATAATAGCGTTATAAAATTTTGTAAAATGTTTTTTGTTTATCGACCAATTCATAGAAATTTTTAACAAAACATAAAAAATACTAAAAGCCTAATGTGGTTATTTATGATTATCTAGTAAAAGTCCAGCAAGAAACTACATTTGCAATTTTATATTAAAAACTTTTTCACTTTGCTTATATTATCCTATAATACTATTGAATTTTGCTAATTTTATAACGTTTTAACACTATCGCAAAAATATGAGATTTTAGCAAAGAAGTTCTTTAGCAAATAACAAATTTAAAAGTCCTTCTCAATACACAACAATTTAAAATCATAAATAAATCCTTCCCTGCACACAACAATTTGAAGGACTTAAACTTAAAATCAAATTTTCCTAGCACAAGACAATTTAAAAGACTGAAACCTAATAATGTTTTTCCTGGCACATGTCAATTTAAAAGACCAAAACCTAATAATGTTCTTCCTACCGCACGACAATTTAACCCACCTAGTATCGCCACCAAAATCATGTACGTAATCGCTTCTTAAATTTCAATCTGAGTATCAATATAAGAATGATGG